TTAATATCGCTTATCAGTTTGAGCCTGATTGAGAAGCAGAGGATATTATTGAAGAGGATTGTGCAGAACCTGTGCAAGCACGGCTTTTAATGGTAGGCCTATGTTTTTTGTTTGTTGTTGTCGCATACTTTTAGATACGCTGTTATTTGTAAATGCTACTGCTTATGTTTGCTTTTAATATACAGTTTTATCCTGATTAAAGCTTTAATACATTACAGCAACTGCACGCCATGTATAACGCTTCTCATAGCTATGTGAAAATAAGTGTATAATTGGAACAGGTGGAACAGTGAGCTGAAAGACGCTTCTCATAGCTATGTGAAAATAAGTGTATAATTGGAACAGGCGGAACAGTGAGCTGAAAGGGAGAGAGAGAGAGAGAGAGAGAGAGATGCAGAGCATATGCAGAGCAGGTGGATGCGAGGAACAGTATTAAGATCTGCTGCTTTAGAACATTGATTTTGAAACTTGTGAATCCATTAGAATCGTTAGAAGACAGAATCGCGATCCATTATGAATAGATTTTTAGGTACACCTCTAGTTTTCTCCTTCTTCTCTAAAGCAGCGCAGCATGGCCCCGCCCCCTTTGCTGCCTTTTCCCGAGGGCGGGGTTTATTTGGGTTTGTGATGTCACGAACCCGGGAAGTAACTCGTTGTAGTCCCTACGAGCCGTTTTTGTAGGCATTAAACTGCCAGAATTTTAAAAGAGGATATCTCCGTTTGCATTGAACTTTCAGCTTCGTAACTTTGCAGATATTGTTTATGCTCAAACAGCAACAATACACACTAACGTTAAAAAAGTGAAATCGCAATGAACCACCCCTTTAAAAACGGACAGCAGAACAAATGTCTTTGTTCACGTCAGTAGATGTGTGATGTGTGCACCTCATTTTCAGTCAACACGGTGAAGCCCAGCTCTTTGAGGGCATCACACTCTGACTCAGAAAACACAGGATCATCACAGGACAACATTGCAAGCTGGTATCGGGCAGATACACAAGAAGCAAAGTGACCCAAACCTTAACACACACAGTGCTGAAGAGAAACTTCTCCATTCTGCTCTGAGGAACCAGAAGCGTTGGAAAGAAGACTCTCAGAGAGGAGATCTGGAGGTGGAGATGGGAATGTGGTCATTAATACAAATTGTGTTTTCACATTTATAGACGGTACATATTCAACTTCACCTTTCAAAGTCAATAGTCAAAGTCTGCTTTATTGTCAATTCTACCACATGTACAGCACATACATACAGAGAATTTAAATTGCGTTACTCTCAGACCCTTGGTGCATACACTTAACACTAACAGTAGACATAATACAAATAAATACAGTTTAAATATATATAAAATACAACCTATACAATATACAAATAAGGACATTGTCTAAAAAAGAAAAAAAGAGAGATAGAAAAAGTGGCATAAGGCACATGGCAGTTATAGTGCAAACCAGTGATATAAACAACTGTGAAGATATAACGAGTGTAGTGCAAAAGAGCTTATCAGTCTGGTAAACTTTCCATTCCATCCAGAAGTTTTCTCCTCTCAGTTCATTCCTGTGACGATAAAGAACATCTCGGAGAGCTGACAGACAACATGAACACAATTCTTAACTTAATTCATGCACTTATCTATTTATTTAAGTCTCCATGGTATTTAAAAGAATGCCATGGTGTTATAATGCATCATGTCTGCTTGGATTTGACCCAGACACTCATGTAACGTGTGATAGTGGCAGTCATATGAACTCTCACATGGCGTTTATTATCGTCTGCTTGTCCGGTTTGCAGTCAGACACCTGGTGTGAGTCTAGTTGGGGGTTTGAAGCTTGTTTTCCTCTTCTAGCAGCTCCTTTACGGCACTCTGCTACATGCCAGTCATCATTACAAGCCATTATAGCAAAATCCTCCTCTTTCCAATCCAAAGAATAAGACAATTTACAGTCGGACTGCTCGAAATACATGGTCAAACTAAGTGAGGATCGGTCGACTCCCATATGAACACATTTTGTATTTTTGTTGGTGTAAATGTCTCTATGATAAACTTCTAGCAGCTGAGATTTTCATATTTACATCTACAAACACCATGAGTGTTTCTGTGTTACACTTTCATCGTTCCGGTCGCCCGCTGCTCTCAATATATTCAGTTCCTATACTTTGTGTTTTTGCCGCACAAATCACTAAGAGAAATTATAAATAACTTTTTATTTTTCTGTTTTTTATTAATTTATCGACAGGTGCGTATATGTATATACACTAATTTTGGCATTAATATACTTCTGAAATTAAATTTTGCAAATGCTTATTAATGGACCTTAGCGTACTATCTGGATGTGTCGGTGAATATTTATGCAGACTTCCACTACTTTCAGTTCTATATACAGTATTTATTGTATAATTTATTTTAACTTGTGGAAAGGTTAGTATTTATTCCCTGTTGAACGGAGTCAGGAATACGTTAAATGTCATGCACAGTGATTCTATTCTATTCTATTCTATTCTATTCTATTCTTGTAAACCCAATAAAAACCTAAATAAATTTGTTTTAAAACACTGGTGAGAACAGCATCGCGCGCTTATTCCGTTAGTCGGACACTAGATGGTGCGCGCTCATTTCTTTCCCGCTCTTTAGCGCTGAGGTAAAAAAGAAAGAAAGCTGTTTTATAGTTTGTATCCTCTAAATTCACTTTTCTC